TATTTTACACAAGCATTATGAATTATATTGGTACTTGGTAGGTTATAGGTGCTAAGAACTATCATTAATTATGATGATCTTCCTAATTCAAAATGTTGATTGTAAACATTTAAATAAAAATAATAATGGTAATAAACATTTATAGTTTATATCCTAACATATACACGAATAACGATAGGTATATTAAAAATATAAATAAATATATTATTTATATACCTAAAAACATTTTAACATCTAAATAAACTATTTTATATTTTATTTAGTGGCTTATACATTTATTTTATGACGAGAAATTTAAATAGTTCAAAATAGCTTATAAATGAGTGGATTTGAAAATATCATATAAATATGTAAATTATTTCATTGAAATTTTCATATTTGCAAAACGAATTACCTATATCGTACTATTTGTAATAGGCAGTACTCAATGTTTTTGTCTAAATACGAGAATTGAACGCCCAGGGGCGATTTTACAGGGGGGTGTGGGGGGGTTTGACACCCCCCGAACGTCGGCAATTATAAATACAAGTCGGCAATTTAAGAATACAATTTAAGAAATTAAAAAATCCAACTTTTTATAGATTCTGAGCGGAGCAACGAATGTATTAATTTATTGTACAATGTCAATGTGTTTTTTTTTTGCGGCTGTCATCACCTTTTAGGACACTAAAAATGCTTAGATTTTCTTTAACAGTCCAATCTTTACTGATAAGAAAGTGAATCTAGTTTGTAGGTACTTGGGGGGGTCAAAAGTAAAAAATTCCAAATAGTTTTTAAAAGCGCCGGGGAAACCAAAAAAAAAATTAAGGATAACTGGGAATGTTTACACAAAATTGTTTTTCTACAAAATCGATATTGGTTTTTGGTATAACTCTAAAAAAAGGAACGTAGATACATGACTTTTTCCCTAGTTGTTTTCAGCATTTTTACATGATAACATTTTCAAAATATTTTGATTTATTTTGAACTGTTTAGGGACATTTTCATTTTTCATTTTTTTTTAGTTTTTTTTTCTAGAAATATCAATAAAATTTTATTTGTTGGTTAAAAAAACTTGAAAATTTAATAGAAGGCTCCTAGTATATTGTTTCAAAATCAGATGAAAAATATTAAAAATCGTTAGTCACAGTTTTTTTTTATAAGCATTTAAAGTTCAAAAATTGACAAAATATGGAAAAATCACGAAAATTAGCGAATTATTTTGAGTTAAGAATTCGTAAAAATTTTTCTTTTTAAATCTAAGATTTGAAAATGTAATACAAGATTACTCATAAGTTTGTCTACCTTTATCAATAAAAAAATCTCTACCGGAAAGTCAAATTAAATTTTTATGAGCGTTTGAAATTCAAATTTTTACAACATTGAATGTTCACTCGATTTCTCATGTAGCGATTTCCTTATTTTGTTGTAATGCAAAAACGAATAACTGTAGATAAATGAAAATGTCACTAAATGTTTATATTAGCATTTATTATACCCAATACAGTTTTGAAAATATTTTGAATCTTTTTGGGCTGTTTACGGACATTTACAGCTTTCAATTTTTTTTAGTTTTTTTTTCTATAAATATCAATAAAGGTGTATCTGTTGGGCCAAAAAGTGTAAAAATGTAATCCAAGGCTCCTGATATATTGTTACAATATTAGTTGAAAAATATTAAAAATACATAGGCACAGTTTTTTTTTATAAGCATTTAAAGATCGAATTTTGACAAAATTTATCAAAATCTCGAAAATTGTCAATCATTGTAATTAATAAATTATAAAATGTTCAGTTTTTATAGCTAAGGATTGCAAATTCAAAACAGAGGTTCTCATAAATAGTTCATACTGAAACCAAAAAATCTAAAAAAATATATGAACACAGTTATTTTTTACAGACATTATAAATTCAAATTTGGACGAAATTACATATTAAAAAACCTAGAATAACTATTTTAGTTATTTTGTTGTGATTGAATAATATTATTCGTGGGTACTTGAAACTTCTACTTGTATCACGGTTTTTGTTGATGTATAACGCGTTATAAGTACCTAATGGATATTGTGATATGATTAATTTGGAATTTATTATAGGTACCTATTAAAGGTCAATTTTTTGTTTTATACCATAGATATGTATATAATATGTCTTATACATAGACTGACATACCGCCATCGCTCAGAATCGTTTTTCTTAATATCGTTATACAATGATATTATATCGTTGAATTCAAATTTAATATCATCTATTATACAGTAACCCACTTGTAACCTACTGTACAAAAGAGCGACACCCACTTGCCCACCTTTTTTTTAGTTTTTTTTCTTTGAATGTCAATAAAATGTTATTTTTTGGGTAAAAAAAGCTTGATTTAATACAAAGATCCTAATATATTGGTTCACAGACAGATTTAAAACGATTTTGTAGTTAAACCGTATGAATTAATATTCAACTTTTATAGCTATATAAGGTTTGAAAATTTAAAACAAGGTTGCACGTAAGTATTCTGTAACCAAAAAATCTCAAAAATATAAGTTTTAATTTCATCTTTGAAAGCAGAATATTTAGATACAGTATTTCGATACATAAAAGTAAAATTTAGGAGTTTAGGGTAGGTTGGGTTAGTAACCTATTTTAATAATATTCTTATAAATTTGCTGTACATTTATGAAGAAAGTATGCATTTATGTCCTTAAAATATTATTATATGCGTTTCAAATAAAACCCATAAAATATGATAAATAAAAATAGTATTTTTTGATTCAGTGTAATAATATTATAATATTATAAAAGATTATAATGAATCAAATTTATTTCTTGGTCAGCATTAAAATGAATAAATAGAAAAATGCAATTTCATAACTATTTGATCCCTATAATTTATTACAATAGGAAAAAGTAATTATTATAAAATTAAGTATACAGTCGGCAGATTTATCATTGAAAGTCGGCAATATTCACTCCAAACCCCCCTAAAAATAAACTCTAGGATCGCCCCTGTGAACGCCATATATATTTAAAAGAAATTGAGTGGTGTGTTTACTTGGACTGATTTGTTAAATGTATATCGAAAGCACTTTACACACAGATTTCCGCATTGTTTTGATACAGTTACGCAATGAAGCCATTTACGACCTTAATGCTTACCTAAAATGATAGTTAACGATGTTATACTGTAGTAATTAATATTCAATACCTTTCGAAACAGCTAGGTATTTATTACCTATACATTAATCGTCAACATTTTAACTAGTTACTTTTTCGTGTATACCGAAGCAATTCATATCAAAATATTACGACGAAAACGTATGGCGGTTAAGATTCCTCAGAAACATTATAATATACATCGCAATATCGTAATATAATATTATATTACCGTATTTAAATCAAATCAAACCGGCACATTTTTTAATAATCTATACTTTCATAGATCCCGAGGAGCATTTAAAAAAAAAACCATTTTACAAGTCAGGTACACCTAATGCGTGTTGTATGGTATAATTATCGAGTGTAATGTGTACACACATACCACACATAGCGATATAGTAATATATTATGTGCCGTAAATCACTCTCTAGTCAGAAATCGTACGTATAGCCGTATAGGTAACAGCATAGGTGTACGATTCGATCGTGTGTTATTAGATGGCAAACACTATATTATGTATAAATGTACAGCGATTTAGCATTTTAACGTACCTCTAAGTATATCCGTGACCTTTTCGACAGTCGCAGTCGTTGCAGGCACATAGGTAGGTACTACCTATATCTAAGTATATATATGATAATATAGTAATATACACTGCACAAGCGAGGAAAAACGGCGTCGCTGATACACTCGTATTTAGTGCTTTTCGCGGATAAAATGCACGGAATTGCGTAATATCATTATGAGAGTATAATACAATAATAATAATACTATAGAGCGAGTGTTATAGTTGTTTTATACCAGCTATTGTGTGTACGTAGCGAGGAATGTGTTGCATGCAAACGCATTGCAAACGAAACGCACGCGGTATACCTACGATAACCGTGTATAATATATATATATATATATATATGGGTGTATCTACCTCATATTGTGTATATATACGAGTATGAAAGAAGATCCTATCCATTAGACACGGAGAGACTGTGTAGATACATTATGTGTGGTGTAAGAGCTCATCACTGATATTCAGTAGCGGAGCTTTTTATCGAGACGTATATTATTATGATTTTGCAGTTGACGTCGGTCGTTTTCGTCGTCGCCGTGGACGTTATATTATTATTATTATATACATACAGGGTGCATCGGGGACATTTGACGATTTTCCACATTGGGATCACGTTTGAATACGCATTCGAGCGATACACCCTGTTTGTATAATCTAATAATATAATATTACGTATATCAGTATATATCATCTGTTTTTATCGTCTTACACGTAGGTACCTATAGGCTATCCGCTATATCATACGTACTATAATTTTATATTATAGAGATCCAGCCGATGGGGGATTGCGTATCATGGTGTACCTATGATATTATAATATGTGCTCGCACTTTATAAACAATATTATTATAACATATATGCATATACATGATACATATATAATATTATTATATCGTATTACCCTGCAGTGCCCGCTCCCTAAACCGATAAATATATATATTATATGCGAGCTCAGGTACACCCATATGTAACATAATATATACATATTATATACCTATATAGAGGATTAGGTGCATGTAAAACGCATATAATAATAGATATATACATATAATACGAGCAAAAATATAACATAAACTTCTGCGGCAGCCAGAGTTGCAGGTACCTATATATAATAACGCTGACTAAATCCGTGTGGTGGTTTTTTTTTTTTTATGTAAATCACGATAACTGGATTGCTCCGGTTATACAACCTAGTGGCGGCTGCAATAGCCGACCGACTCGCGTGTCGGAAGAAAGTTGTCTCTGCGAAGCGAAAAATCGTATTGGGTTGGGTTTTGTTTTTGTTTATATATTTCCCTCTTACCTTTTTGGCCAATGGTGCAAACATGAAACATCTGACAGCCGGTCTCCACGTCTGCGTAATAACCTCCGATGACTTTGCCGTCGCATGAGAAATTCGTGTCCGGTAAATTGTCAAAGTCCAAATACTGAAAACGTACACACAACAATATGACATTAATGAACGATGTTTGTTGACGAAACTATAATATTATGCTGTAGTTTTGAGTTTATAGACTAGATGCGACGAATTTTAATCGGTAGGTACCGCAGTATACGTCTGTCTATGTATACCCACACAACGAACCAACAATTAAAAAAATCTTGTTTGGCATTAAAAGCAGTACACATTTTTATAATAGACATTTCAAATTTCAAATTTTTGTAAATGTAAAATAAAATAATGTTGCACCAATAAAAGTTTAGTCATATGGATTTATACCTAATAAGGAATTAGGGATAATAAGCTCTTGATTTTAAATGTGATATTTCTATCGATCACCACTCATCACTTATCACATCCGAACATCCCTATCCATCAAGAAAAATCTCAGATTAATATGGTCAATTACTTCATTCGTTTGAGTACTTGTCTACTAAAAATAAAAATATTCGTACCTACATTTTGTTTTCTTTATTGTATAATCAAATAGGTACCTTATCAAAAACAAAATGAGAAAATAATGGATTTGTAAGAGTCGTATTTGAAAATTAAGTGGAAACAATGAAACGGGATGTTGAAAAAGGGATAACAATACCATTTTAAACCAGATAGGTGATTTTGAATTCACAATTATTTTACGTTTATAAATATTATATTGTACACGAATATTGTGTGATTTATGATAAATAATAATTTTATTGACAACAATTTAATTATTAATTGTATTAGCCACGCGCGACCATTATGAAAAGTATATAGATTTATAAATAAATAATTATGTTTAAATCGAAAAATGTTTATGTATATTTTCGATTTAGGTCAAGTAATATTTCATTAAAATTGGTAGGTATAGTAACTATAGTTATACACTGATTATTATACTTGTATTCATTCAACAAATATTTGGTGAATACATATTATACTCGTATAATACATACTACCTATTACATAATGGGTAAGATGCAATGAATTTATTTTTATATACGTAATAACCATTAATTAGCCGTGTGTGTATGTTTAAATATTTATCGGTAAATATTATAATAGTGAGTATACAAAATACAAATAGTTAGAATAAATACGTGTATGATTAAATATATAGGTACATCGTACATAATATTAGTATATTAGTAAGTTAAAAAAATAAATATCAAGTACCTATACCTACTTAGTACAATAAAAAAACTTAAAGTCAAAGTTTACAAAAATAATTGGTATTTTTATCGTCTTTTTTTTACATACAGTTTCGTCAAAAATTTGATTTAATGCATAGAGTTTAGTTATTTTTAAATTTGAAATGCGTATTGTGTATGATAGTGAAATCAAGCTCATTAGATACATTTGCAAGAATATAAATATTATGATGATACATTAATGTATTTTTAAATTATATAATACAATTACTATACTTCATATACAATGTCACATTGTATTTAGTACAAATACCTATACCCTAAGTATGATATTGTGAAGGTATTATTAAATATTATTACACAATTAATGTTTCAATAGTTATTTTCTTCTAGATCGCTTATTTTTCGAGTGACCATAATTATTATTCAATATTAATTGAACCTGAAATTGTTTTTAAAGTAGGCATATTCCGTCATGGCGACTCGTGGATTTGAAAAAAATATTTTTAAAAAAAATAGACGAAAGTATAACAAGTATAACTACACGTGTCATTTTATAACCAGTTATGAAACCGAGTCCTATACGTATCTATAATATTATAGTTATTTTTAACGTTAACTTATACATTGCAATATATACGTATGTCTTATACTGCAAATCAATATACCAAGCGAACTGAATTTGTAATGAATACATCAGCATAATAATTTTAAAGTCAGTCGCAATTGCCAAGGATATCGCATATTGTAATTTTTTTTTTTTTTTAAAACACACACACAGCAATACTAATTTTCAGATACTTTCTCCGCGAGGTCTAGTTAATCGTATATGTCATCATATATAATATGTACACATTTATCTATTTAAAACGTTTATGATATTATTTAAAAAAATTAAAAAAGTGGAAAATAACCGGACCGTTTCGGTTATTGAAGTGCATATTATACAAATTAGATTTTCCAATTGATTCATTTTCGATCTAATTTGTTACGTCAATATCTGCAGATTTGCATATTATTATTATCCTGTGTAGCGTGTACCTGTAGGCCATATAATACCTATTAACTATATAGACTATAATATATAGTCGTTTTCTAGATAGTTTTATTTTTCGCATCTTTAACACACGGGTACGCATATTACACACAATATAATATAATATACAGGTGAGTATTTATACTGCAGTAAGCACTTGAATCTCAAAAAAATGAATATTAGTTTTCGAAATTATTTTTTACTCCATTCGTAATTATTTTAGTTTAGATAACCGTCACAGAGTTGCCAGTAATGTATATATAGGTACGTTACTGTACTATTCCATACTGATTGCTGGATAGGTACTGGATTATTTTCAAACCCATCGTGTAGCCCGAAAAACGTCGGATTGGAACTTTAAATACTTTTAACTACTTAGCTATAATAGTTCAAAATTCTCAGAAAAATATTTTTCATCGGAATGAGAAATTGTACGTGGTCGTTTAAGAATAAAAACTTAAAAAATAATAATGTTCAACGACGTGAATAGTTTTCAAGGAATGAGTGTTTACAGTTAAAATAATCACCCAGTATATAATATTATATATTATATTACAATAATTATGAACGCATAATTACCAACGATTGTGTATATAGTGCATACGATTATCCGTCGTCTTAAACACCGGCTACAATCACCTCGATATTTTACGGGTTCGTTATGTGAGCACATATAATATAATAATATTATATGTGTTATGACTTATGGGTATAATAGCTGGTACCTCCTAGTATACCTAACCATATGTACCTACTATATTACTATACCACGGTTCTTCGAGCGTGCCCGAGTTATGTAATTTAGTCGAAACAATCACACATGCTGGAATAGATGCCTACAGAACTGCTGTTTGGGCGTCAGGTACAACATTTAATCACTACCTATGTACAATAATATGCAATTATTCAGATTTCAGGTATAGGTACAATGTTATTACACACTCAGGTGGAGTGTATTTTCATTTGTCCACTCGCGATTGTTTCGTCCCACGATCCATTATCGAATGGTATATCGATTCGAAAAACAATTTTAACGCTCCGTCATACGCATAGGTAACAAAACGCATACACATTTTATAGGATGTAATTTAATATTAATAATTTATTGTACACTTACTCCGGGTTGCACGGCGAAAGTGTAAATATTGGCGGCATTCCACCAGCAATTGCAGTTCCACAGCGCGGCTGAAAAAAAAAAATTCACAATATAATAAGACGTTATTAAATTAATGAAAAACGTGATGTTCAAACACAATAATATATATATCGGGACATTGGGCAGTCGTATACAATCCGCCACGCGAGTACAGTATACTAATATATACATGTAGGTACGAAAACAATATGTATATATATATATATATATTGCGTTTCTCGCGGGGAACGAATCTATCGAATTCGTTTGACCGATGTAGCTTATGAAATTAAAAATAATAATAAGTACCTACGTGTAGGTACGGAGTTACAACATAATTAACGGTTTTTTCCTCATTAAAAAAATTAATGTATAAATATAACGACGTCCGACTGTTGTTATTATTATGTATACATTGTACGCATATCGTATAGCTGTATAGGTCTATCGAACGATTCACTCTCGTATAATATAGGCTGTATATAGGTATAAATAGGAATTCGGTGGGACCAGTCATTTCTAGTTATTATATTATATAGTAGCCTATTATATTAGTATATACAGTTCTGGACAGGATAATTATAATATATAGATAACGCGTGAATCTGCAGCTGCGGCCAAATCGTTTCAAAAAATTAAAATTCCAATTCGAGTATATTTTTTAACGACGTGCCAACTGCTGCTGATGCCGAGACGTTGGGTCATATTATATAACTTTGCGTTAATCATGTACCACGGTATAATATTATTACCCGTACCTGTATTAGATATATATTATGGAAACACCTACACACTCATATATAGGTACCTACCTACTTATATTATACTGCCGCGTCAATCCATCAACATATATCTATCGTATCATCTTTTATGTTGCAGTGCACCGCGGACCGCGACCTTTTATATCGGATCATCGTATATAATATTGTTATGTGTTAAAATATGTTGTATTATACATAGAAACAGCCGAGAAATCATATACCCGAGCCCGCGGGGTGTTGTGTACAGAAATATCGGAGGAAAGATTATGATATGGAATAAGAAAAAGGACCGTCGAGGATGCATGTGATAGTGCATGATATTATACACTGTGCCCGCAGTGGTGTGCGCGTAGTGTATTATGCGATTGGCCAATAAAGTTGTGAAAAATAAAACGAAAAACGAAAAAAAAACACCTTATTAAACCGATCTTTCATCCGTGGATATTTTGCAGTGCGACCTCGGCAACCGAGCATGACCCCTACTTCTCGACCAGCCCGCGGTGTCGAGACCTATGATCCGCCGAGGTTCAGCTTGGTGTATAAGTCGTACAATGAGCGTCTGTGCGAGCGTTAGAAAGAGTAAAATAGAATCTCGAGAGCCGGGTAGACGGGTAAGAGGACCGATAGTTTTTTTTTTTTCGTCGGAATCGCGTCCCAGATAACGAAATTTTGTGTTTTATCGACATTTTTTCTCCGTCATACGCGAAACGTGGTTTCGGACACGCCGGTAAATCGCTTCAGGACGTAACACTGCACCGATAAAAAATATATATTACGTGATAATAATATCGCCGTATATTGGTGAAAAATATTCATGGACAATGAGGGCACAACACTATGACTTACGATATTCATCATCATTTGAGTGCGCATGACTGATGACTCTCATATCGCGGTGGTCGTCGAAATCACAATAATTCCGATGGAAATTTTAAAATTCACCAACCGCGAATCCCCCCGTGAGCCCAAAATATGCGCGTTACATAACAGCGGCGATTGTGTGATTGTCAAAAACTATGTTGACATCATAAATACTACCTACACATTGTTATGTAGTACTATATTATACATACTACTATACCACCCATTACATTTCATAAAACAAAAACCATCAGCAAGAATATAACGTTATACTCGTACATTATAATTTATGGTTAAAGCTTTTAAAAAATCTAGTAAATAATCGGTAAAAATGGCATGTCTTTGAAATTACAATAATCATATACCTACGTGCCTACAGCGATTGATTCAAAAAATTTAAATCGTGTGGTTAGCTATTTTAATATTATATAACTGTTAAAAGTCAAAATAAATATTCACCGGATATTTAAAAATCACAATCGATCGAATGATTTGAGATTCTTTGGACGGTTATCATTGTGTTCGTTTTCAAGTATAAATTAGAATAATAAATTATATTGCAAGGTTTTACATTAATCAGAATTCAAATACCATTTTTATTGTTTTCTATTAGGTATATTATATATTGGCCATTATCATGTTCTTTCATCGTGCAGCACTTCAGTCACACGATGTCGTAAACAATACCATAGTTGAATATTATTTAAACGGTTAGTCACATTATATATGTATTATAAAAATATTTTTCTGTTCACATAATATAATATATTAATAAAACAAATAAATCTACTTAAATATTGTATTATGCAAAATTGTCTGCTTGTTAGTTCACTTGATTACGATTCCTAGACCTAACCGCACAATATATATTATGAAATGTTCTCCTAAAACCACAGCTAGGTATGTTTGATTTGTATATCCTTGATGAACTGCACACTACCATATAATATTAGATATCATAAAATGGTTTGTCAAGATATATCAAAATTTCATATGACCTAAATTGACAATTTTCTTAACTTGTGGTTCGTGTAAATCACATTTATAAGTTTATTATACTTGCTCGAATTTTTAGGGCTTTACAATTCCTCGTTACACTCAGTCACAACGATTTCACATTAATATAATATTGTTGTCTTGATTTGAATTTAAAGAAGTTTTTCGACACCTATAGTTTGTCTATCTCATCTTTATACCACCGTTTTCTTTATGCGTAATACGAATTTCGGTTGTGTACTTGTGTGCGTATTTAATTGCTAATATTGTTTTGAATGTAACCGTTGCACCCCAACATTTGTTATAATATTATGCATAAGTATTAGGTAGGCAGGTATAAACTATAAAGGATATAATGTCAATAATTTGCCTATACTTTATATACCTTTGTGTATATATACCTATAATCTACTCAAACGAGTCAAACAATCAAACCATATAAGAAACCGCAAGAATGGAAAAGTGTATTTCATAGTTAAGATAACTGATATCGATGCGATATTGGGCGTATTATTTTGTGACGATTAATATAGTAATATAATGTTATAGAAAGATATATTCTCATCTAAATTGGAGTCGTTTTGTCGTATTATTTTATTGATCCATTACAAATATCGCGGCGCGTGTTTGTTGCAATCCAGCTCTTTCCTATCGAATTTGCCAATTTAATAATACAATAATAATAATTTGAACGTTTCAGTACCTACACATTATTTCCACCGCGTTCGCAGTTGTCGTGCAGTTTCCTGACGGATTGGTGAGAAATTTAAATTGAATTTCTTTTTGTCGCCGTCTCCGAGTTACGTCTAACACTCCGTACATAATAATAATACATCGCCGCCATTCTTTCAGTTTGAAATTGTTTTTTCCCTATTATTTTCTTCTTCTTTATATATTATTTTTTTTTATTTACGAATTTAATTTAAGATTGGTTTCGTTACAAACGCTATTCGTGGTGTATGGGTGTATTATGTCGCAAACATCGTAAACGCATAATATGTTACTTAAGCGACGGAATTCGCAGAAACCACAAACATAGACGAGACGACCACTGTGTGCTTATCGCCGCACAATATGCAAAATATGATGTGTGGGTGTGGGTGAAGTACCGCAAGTACGGTATATATTAAGTGTAAACGAAGGCAATGTTGACATTTTCAAGGTAACTTATGTAGCCACGAATCTGAAATGTAATCGTGGACAGCTTTGACGATGTCGAACACATAATTTACAGGGTTTGATTGGATTTGATGCTTGTAGGTGATGCTCACCCCCAATTTTTGCTAAGTTATACCTAATAATATTACGAACCTTATTATAATATTATAATTTTCAGAATTCATAAGTATATTTAAGTATTTTAGTATAATGCATAATTTATTATTACTAAAAATGTTACTGCTTAGATTCAACTACCCACGTATAATGTTAGCTATTTTTGGGCATTATTTTAAATGTTTATTTTTCATCGTTTTACAGATCAATCATGCATGTCCGAACTCTTAAGTCTATACTATCTGGTCACATACCGATGGGTAGCCGTACATGACGTGTTGAGAGAACTATCCTATGAATAATATCATATTATATTCTTGTTTAAGTATTTCTATATATATTTTACTCTCGGCCAGGAGATCTATGCCGAGAAAAACGAAAACGGTCGTTTGCTAATTGTGAAATACCATAATATACAGGTGACCACGCGTATAGACTAGATTCGGTAGCTGATCTGTAGAAACATCAGTTGGGGTCGTAAAGTGAAGATCTTACTTACCTCCGCCCAAAAAAGCGTAGGTACATAAAAAAATTCATAGTATTTAAAATCAACAAAAAATTTAAAAAAAACTATTGCGTAGTCCTAGATTGCCTATAGCTCGGCCATATGGCAAAAAAATTCTCCTCGTGCTGCCCGTCACGTCACACACACACACACATGATATATAAGCGGGCCGACACGATTCTGTCATAATTATTATTATCGTTATCGTCGTCGTCTCGTTCGTCGTGTGTCGCTCTCCTCGCGTGACCAGCGCGCGCGCGCCCGCTCGCGATTGTAGCAATAGTTATCATTATTTATTGTAATAATATATATTTACATATATTATATTCTGTTGTTCGGTTGTTTGGTTGTTTGGTTTTTCGGTTGTTCGGACCCACCGTTCGAGCTGGACTACTATGTTATACTACTACTATAATTGCAATACGCGGTAACATACTTTAATATTGTAATGTCTGGTGATACCAATGTATATAATAATAATATTATATTATGTAACGCCCACGCTTAATTATATATAATATATAGACGACGCGGTGTTAGGCTCTCTCAGTAAACTGAATCCTTACCGAATACCGCCACTACCTCCGGGACAAACTCGATCTCGATTCCTCCCTATTGTATAACGAGTCCCGAACACAAAAATGTCATTGTT